GGGACAGCCCGGCCGCCCTGAGCACCCCAAAGCTAGGGTGAAGCCGCTGCCAGGTCCTGCCCTCCAGTTTGTCACTGCCCAGCAGACAGGGGAGAGGCTAAACCCAACCATTCTGAGGGCAAAACAGCGGGGTGCGGGGCTGGGGCGCTGGGACGGGTTTTGAAGGCTGCTGAAGCCAAACCGCATCCTTTCGCCACAGCAGTTCCCTGCTTCTGTCCCAGCTTCCCTGAAAAACCACCATTTTGTTTACTTCATTTTTCACATTTCCTAAGGAATTCCTGTCCACAAACACTTCCTCCCATTTCGGAAACTCTGATGGGTGCAGTGCTGAACCCCTTTGGGTACCCATTACACCCTCAGCCGTGCTGGCTCCCAGGGCAGCTGCCCGTGCCGTGCATGGGTGCAGGACAGCCAGCCCGGTTCATGCGGCAGAGGGGACAGGAGACTCGCGTCCCTGAAACACAACACTGCCTTTACTGTCCCCCCATCAAAGCACTGCAACACAAACAGTCCCAGTGATCCCTATCATGAGTACTACACATGTGCTGCAAACCTCACAGAGCAGAGTCACGACAAATATTAGGTGTGGGTACGTACATCGGTCGCCTTCTTCTCAGCCTGCTCTAGTTTTTCCTGGGCATCTTTGAGAGCCTCCGAGTACTTATCCAGCTCATCCTCAGTTCCTTTCAGCTTCTTCTGCAGAGCTACCAGCTCATCCTCTACCTTTCAAGAGAGGAAAAAAACAAACCACCAAAGTGAGCATCCTGGTATATTGCCAGTTACAGTTTAATATGGTGAAAACCCCTTTTCACTATTAGTTTTAACCTAACATAACATACAGAGAGTCACAAAAGAGCAGATCAAAGTTCTGCTGGGGGAAGTAGTCTGAGAATGACTAAGATCATTAAAACCCATCATCCTCGAAACAACATTCCTGCACTGCACACAGGACCTGGTTTAATACGTAACTTGGTATAAGCCCTTTTTCACCTCATTTCTATTTTGGACTCCACAACACTCTGCAGCAGTTAATTCTGCAACGTAATGAAAAATGTTTTAAAGTGATGTCTTTGTGTTTGTTCTAACAGCATTACCTGATGATTTATTGGGGAGCTATGAAATTCCTGTACAGCTAGAAAAAACAAGTGGTCACTTCCCAATAAGTTTCTGTGTTGTTCAAGACACCCCAAAGCAAACGCGATGCTCTGAAGCTATGGGTGCAGCCCCTGCTGTCAGTGGAGGTGGGGCTTGGTGACCTTGGGAGGTCCCTTCCCACCCACTTTATTCTCTGACTCACTGGGTGCCAACAAGGTTTCGCTCCATTGTACCAAGAGGTTCAACCTCTCTCCTCCATGCCATATAAATCCATATTGGTCGCTAGAATGGGGCTATTTTTAACCTGCTGGGAGACTGTTTAATGACAAACTGTCTCCTGCTCCCTGAAGAATTCACGTTATCGGGAGGCTTGCAGCTGATAAGGGTGTGCCTGCAAACCCATCTGCTCCATCACTTCGTTTGCAATACAAAACAGTTCAGTCTGTGGAGAAACCGATTTGCCAGTAGCTCCGCCTTCACATAAATTTAGTCTATCAAAATAGTTCACTCAAAATAGTTTGTGTTTTAGTGCACTGGCTTTCTCCATTCTAGCTTCAAAGATAGCTTTAACAACATTTTTGGTAGCATGCTATTCTCAAATGTTGTTATGTTTTACTCAGTAACCAGACAGGGCGAGAGAACTGAATAGGTTTGCTTGGATGCTTTACCAGAGGGACAGTAAGCAGGAGGAAGGAGGTGATGACATTAAAATGTGTATTTTGTGTACGACATTAAAATCACTACTTGAGTACCGTGCCTGTATTAAAAAAAGCTGAAAAATCTGAGACAATCCATGAAAGAGGAGCAAGATCAAAGATTTATTTTTCTCTTTTTATTGTGAATTACCCTCATATAGATACTTGAGCATCTAGTTCCCACAGGCGTGTCATTTATCACGCTGTAGGAAATCACCTTTGATTTAAATGTGAAGGATGGAGAAGCATTAAATCCCCATATGATGAAGGTTACTGTAATGACACAGAAAAGTGGTTTTCCTGGTGGAGGGGGAAGACAACAGCAGCTGACCCTTCTGGAAACTTTTCCCCATTGCTTTAGCTAAATGGATGATCAGTTGTAAGTTTAGTAATTAATTATCATCCAGAATCTCAAACCGATCTTGAACATAAGAAATACTTGGTCAAATGAATGCTAATAGTGTATTATAGTGGACTGGGAGATTTAGCAGAAACAGCCACATTTAGAGGATGGAAAAGGAAAAGACGTGGTAATTTTACAAGAAGTGCTATGAGAAACTTGAGGGTAGTCAATTTGCATTTCAAGATCGTTCTGAAAATACCATAGCTCAAATATGAGGTACATACCCAGAATAAAGAACATCGACAAGCAAAAGAATTTGCAAATGTTATCACTAAAATGCAGTTAAAAGAAGAGCTTTCAAATTAAGGCATTTCTGACTATCCTTAACAAAAAAGTAATACAACGTATCCACTGTTGAGTCCCAGCTGGCACCTCTAAAGGCACTCTGTATGGCAAGGACCAGTCAAGTGAACTTTATTAATTCACTTCAAGGAGAGGCTCAATTAATGTTTAGACACAGCTGACTCTTCAGGAGGTATTAACACTCATCCTACAGGTGTGCAAGGTATACAGCTTTTATTTGGAGTATGTAAGGCCTTTTCTGTGAAATCACAAGCACAAGAAAATTAGGGCAATTATGTAAGATTCAAGAAAACTTAGACAAAGTACTCTTAAAAATCTGTGGATAGTGCTAATTTTGCAAAGACTCAGCTGAAAAGAGAAGTAAATACCTAGCCCTGGCTGTATAACAACACAAAAAGGCAAAAGACTTCAAAAGAAGATTAGCAGAAAACCCAATTTCGTATTATTTTGCTTCCTGAATCAGAAAGTTGCAACACAGTATTTAGTTACACTTATTGCCACAGCACATTACACAATCCGTGATTTTATTTCTCCTTACCTGCTTGCATTTGTCCTCGGCTGCCTTCTTATCCGTTTCAGCCTGCTCTGCTCTGTCAATGGCATTCTCCTTGTCTAACTTCAGCATCTGCATCTTTTTCTTGATAGCTTCCATTTTTGCTAAAGGATAGGTTGGATCTGTGACGCAATAAGTCAAGTTTTAGATTTTTTTAACAGCTTGGGCAGAGAAAGAAGTTGTACCCAGCTGAGTCACGGGGAAAATGAGCTCAAGTGGTTGTAGAGAGCTTTAAACCCCAAGACCCCTGGACAAAACCCAGATCTATTGGCCTCTCCTCTGATCTTTCATATGCAGCCTTTGTAAGGAATGAGCTGGAACAGACTCACTTGAGGAATCTTCACCACTCCATCATCTCCTTATTTGGATCCTGTTTTCTTAAAGAGAAAACTGTTTCCATTTTTAAGCTTCTGACAGAAGCAAAAGTGTTGACATATGAACACATGCTTGGAAGAAAGCTTATTAGCACCCCTCCGTGTTTGCAGAGCAATTAAACAGCCCAATAGATCTATGGGGATGGCCTGGCTTCTTATAATAATGGCATAAGGCTAATGTAGGAAAGGATCTTTTTGGATTACTCTGAAATAAATCCATGCATTATAAAGAAATAAAACATCTACACTTGAGAAGTAGCTAAATTTATGTTACAAAAAGGTACAGGATATGTTAAAAGACAGAAGGTTGGGGGTTTTTTTCTGTGAAAATAAGCACTGGTGTTAAGGAACTAGCAGTAGTCTGTAATAGTATAATACATAACAGAAGTCAGATTTAGATACCAAGTTCAGGCTCAAAGGCTTTCAGTGATTTTGAGTGCCTGCCTTGGAAATCTAACTCACTACTTAGGGAACTGGACAGTACACCTGCAGTTGCAGTTGGATGAGCACTTTAAATTATGTCTACTGCTGTATGAAGCAGTCATCTTCTCTCTGTCAGGCAAGAGTAGACAGGAAGGAGGAACAGCAGGAGCAACTCCACTGAGGACACAAACAAAAGCACCCAGTGGTCCCGGGATGAGCCCTGTTTCCATTCCCAGCCCTACTAAACACGTCCCCGTGCCCCAACTGCCCTCTCCCATCCCTTCATGTGCTCTAGCTTAGCTTCATGGGCCCTGGCACCTGCTTTGTCCTGACTGCAGCAATGGCTTACTTCACCTCCCAGGGCAGACTGAAAGCACTTGACTTGGCTATGCAGGGACCCGTGCACCCTCATGTTCACCCACTTCTTTCCCAAATTCAGGTTCCATTAACCACCCCATGCAAGTGCATGCACAGGCCAGAGCAAGGCCAGAGCCCCACAATCTCTAATGCACCACCAGGCCAGTCAGAGCATTCACTAGGCTGCTCTTTCTCAGAGATTTACTGTTTTGTTTCAAAATAAAAACGGGGCTCACGCTGCTCGTAAAACAAAGACTTCAACCCCCAGCAGCCCCACCGCTGCCTGACAGAGCTTTGCCCCCCCATCCCAAGATGGCTGCCGGACAGCGCCCCGAGGGGCTGTGTTCTGGCGACGCCAAGATGGCGGCGCGGCCAAGGACTACAGCTCCCGCGGGGCTGTGCGCAATCGTCCCGCCGGCCCCAGCGCACCGCCCTCAGCCCCGGACCGGGCACGCCCAGCGCCTCCGCTACCTCCATCCCTCATTAATAGCAATGGAATAACTCCAGGTTCAGCCGCTTGGATTTTTCTTTCCCCACATCTCTAAAACAACGCTCGGATTTTTTAACAGCTGTAAGTTGAGTGGTGGCGGGGAAACCAGCGCTGGTTCTTCCGGACTCAGAGTGTGCCCACACTGTTCGGCATGCCTCATATAAGTAAATGTGCTTTTTCCTCCAGAAATTGGTCCATTTGCCTCTCCTTCTGTAGCCCGCAGGTACTGCTGCAACAAGGTGGCCTCATGGGCAATTTTATCCCAATTTCAATGATCTGAACAGTGCAAGATAAAAACCCACACGTCCTAAGCCTGGGAACAGGTTTGAAGAGTCAAGATGAGGCAGTAAATTAACAGCACTGCTGAACTCGCAGAAACGGCATTAAAACCTAATAAACCATATTGATCACCGTCACAGCTTGCATTTCCCCTTGCCCTCCTCTGCCATGAGTCTGCTGGTTCAGCCCTCTATGAAGGCAGGGGATTGCTGCAGGGATTTGGACTGACAGTGAACCCCCGGGTGTCAAAGGAGCAGGTTTTGGGGTGCAGCTGCAGAGACGCATCAGGTGGAGCTGGAAATGGAAGGACAGCATTAGCCCCGTCTGACCTGGCATGTGGGAACTTGTGTGATGGAGGCAGATGCAAGACCACGCACGCCTCTCCCTGGGACTACAGCTGCATTTAGCCTTAGGTGCACGTTTCAAGCTGTTTCTGTGGCTACTCTTGGAGACTCCTCATAATTCCTGATTATTGAGAGGAGCAGAAGTGGCTATCCAGTCAGCTTACCAGTCCCTCTCCTGCTGCAGACTTGGCAGGCTCAAAAGTGGTGCTGGGGAAGTGAACACTGAACAAGACTCTTTTGCCTTTGTATTTCTAATGTGGGAAGATAATTTTTCTAATCAACTCTGTAGCATGACTCAGAGCTACATTTAGAAAAGAACATCAAGGAACATGTCACCCTGTGTAGCCCTTCAACCAGGTACATTCCCTTCTTCCTCTCCCTGCTTCACGAACTGGAGAGAAGTACCTGAAATATTCACTCTGGTCTCTCAGTAATGATGATCCTGTCACTGCCTCTGGCTTTCATTAGCTTGGGAAACAGTGAGCAACTAAGAAAGAAAGAAGAGATCTCCAAACCATTAGTGTTTTTTTTTTTTCCCAGGCAGGCAGGAGGGTGCTATAAGGAGTTCCTTTGTTTTTCCTTTTCTTTCAGAGGGATTGTTTGGGCCTAGGAAGGCTTGGCAAGGTTGGGTGTGTAAATATGAGAAGATATCAGGAGGAAATGAAATCGGATTGTTTGGGAGTGTGATCATTTCTCTGGCAGCACACTGCACGGGAAGCGTGTTGCAGCAGGCATTTTAACACACTGGAGGGGTTCTGTCGGACCTGTCGGTTGAAGTGTGGCAGGTCTCAAAATTTCCTATGCTCACAATCCCTCCTCCTTTTCTATTGTCCCAAAGTTAGCTGGGACCCACACCGTGTCCCATTTCACTATCTGGGAAAAGCAGACATTTTATATCCTCATTTTCTCCCCCAGTTCCTGCTCCACTCTAAACTCCTGGTCATAAAAAATCACCTTCCTCTCTTACACATTGACTGAGCTCCATCCAACTCCTCTTATGCAAAGCTGCACATGTCAAGGCTAGAAATGTTTCAAAGCAGAAGAAAGAAGCTGCTAACAATTCTCTACCAAATTTCTTTCAGTTTCTTAATGCAAGTGTTTCCTAATAGTCCACTCTCTTCTGTAAAGTATCTGTTCTAGAAACTATATAATATGGTGTATCATTAGCAGTGCACTGTAGCAAAGGTGGCACTAGAATAAATATCAAAGTTGTCTCTGCCTGGTGTTTCCTTTGAAATGACAAAATCCATAAACCTTCACATCTCACTGAATTTCTTGTCTTGGTGGGTTCTCTCTGCAGGGCTGTCTCCCAGTGTGGAGAGTACAGCTGGGCAGTAACAATCTGTAATACCCTCTTTCTGATACTTTCTCATTAAGTATCCATTACTCACCATGGATGCAGACAAGGTACTGGGCTAGGTGTGACCCAAATGGTAGATTTACTCCTTCTGTGCCTAGATCCAGGGGGAATTTACCTCTTTTCTTAAATAATCTGGGTTACCTGCATTTTCTAGCAGGGACTTGAACACCCGAGATGTTGAATCTGATGGTGTTTTTAATAGGATGGCAGAATTCACTCAGCACCTGAAAGATGCACCTGCTTGGGAAGCCTGTCTCACTGTCAGTATCTGCTACACCACGAGAAAGCAAATCCCATCCTATATGCACATTAACATTCCTGGCTAATACAGAACTGAGTGGAGAGGATGCCAGAAGAGGAGGATTCAGCAACCTCTATCCCAAGATTTTGGCTGCCCTTTCTTTCTCTGTATTGCCTTCACCGGCAAGACCTATTCTGTCGCAGAGAAGGATTTGCCTTCAGATCAAAGGACAACCACCGGTATGGACCTTCCCTTCTTCGGTTACTTTGCTGTTATAGCCCGTATCTGGGCTTTAAGAAGCTTTACGCTTTAAAAAGGAGCTTTAAGCTCCTCCTTACCATTAGATGGCAATGTAGATCCACAAATCCTCTTTCTTCCTTGAGCCCCTGGAAAACCATCTTGCAGCTGGTGGAGTGACTGGTAGAGGCTCCAATCTTCTATTTCTGCCTACCTTACCTTTCCCAGACTATGGCATCTGAAATTTGTTTCACCTGCAAACGAATGGAGCTGGCTGCCTGGCATGCCAGCTCCTCCAGAGTCCTCAGCGACATGGGCACTCACTCACTCTCCATCTAGGGCCCTCCTTTCCACACAGAGGTTTATTTTTTCACTCTTCCAGCAATTAATTCATTTATCTCTCGTTCTGCTGTTTCTGCAAGACATTTTGCTGTCTTGCTTGTTTTGCAGCTTATTGCCAGACCTGGCAGGCGAGTGACTCATGGGCTGCCACAGGCCAAACCCCCGAGGATACAGACTTCTTCCTAGGGTCATGAATCTCCCATCTGGGAAGTTATAAAGAACTGCAGTGAGAAATAACCACCACCGCAAAATGCTTTCTCCCATATCCATTTTTCAGCTTTTCCATTGTCTGCACTTGACTGGTTCATTTAACATGCGCGTTACTGGGTTTTTTTTCTTTCCCATTTCCTTTTCCACCAGAAAATGTCACCAACTCACATCCAACTTTTGCTCAGAAAACTTGCAAGTTTGTTTGTGTTCCAAAACCAGGCAAGTTAGCTGCTTCAAAGCTGAATATACACAGTATTTTTTCTGGAGCCTGTTTAAAGTTCAATCCCATGCCAAACAGAGCCCACCAGCTCCCAGTAATGCAATATTGATGCTGGGCAGTGACCCAGGGAAGTTGTAGTGGCTTTTGGAGTCTGATTCTGATACTGCAGCAGGATTTGCCTGACTGGAACTTCAGCAGCACTACTGGCAGAAATCCTCAAAAAAGAATGAAATGAGGACCAGCCCCTCTTTTTGTAACATCTTTTCTAAAAGATCTGTGGTACTGCCAGAGCAGATGGAGAGCTCCTGACTGCTGTCTAGAACAGGGCAGAATGACAGGGACATTTCCCCCTGTGCCAGGCAAGGATGGGAGATCGTGGCTGGGTATTCAGTGGAACAGAGAGGCTGTTTGGCCTGAGAGCACAGGACCCGATAGCTTGACAGGCAGATGACAGGACAGGGCCAATGCAGAGAC